TTTTTTGTATAAGTTTCAAATCCACCAGACTATCTTGTTAGTGCCCAGAGATTGTGTAAATGCTAAGGTCATAAATCATAGCCCTGAGTGTGGCATACTCAGCCAGGAGGAAATGCAATCTGGGACACATGGCTATTTCAGATTGGGGAGGGGGAGGAATGACTGTAATGAGGGGAAGGGCTGAAAGCTGACCACAGCACAAAACAGAGTTTGATGTGGAAATAATTTCTTATGAGCAAATGATGTTTACTTTAAACTGATGATCATAATTCACTACATTGACATTGGTGGATTGTAGCAGCAAACATGATAGGTAAGTGTGAGGCAATGCAAAATGTGAGGTGATGGAAATCAGCAGGCTCGAGATGGCCCCAGCTGTGACAAATGGACTCTGGGAGAGAGGGGTCTTCTAGCCTTCTATCCTTATCCAAACACTCTCATTAATTGAGATTTGCCTTCATTTGAGAACCCACTCAACATTCCTCGGGTGGGCCATTTTGAGCTAATGCGTAAGTCTGTTGGCTCTTTGAGTTCATTTCCCAAAAAGGCAAAACAAAACAGTACCTGAATATTAAAAAGACTCAAAAGTTTTTTGGATGTGAAACTATACTTAAAAAATATAACATTTTGGTGACTTAAGTATAAATGAATTTAAACATATGGATTACATGTTCTTCAGAATGTACATAGTATAGAAATTCAAGGAAAAAAGTATTTGTTAACCCTTATCTCCTTGAACTTCTAATACATGCCAAATAGTTGGAAGAGTCCAAGAGCATTTGAAAGTCCCCAGTGTTCATGCACACATGCATAACTAGAGCCTGAATGATAGACTTGCATCTATCTGTCTATCCATTGTACCACCTAGCTGCCCTGCCAAACTGTTCATGTAGTTTTGAGTCGATAAAGCTTAAAATGGCACTAAGAGTTTTGGGACACCCTGTATAGCACTTAAAATGTTTGCAAAGCACTTTGTAGACATTATCTCATTTTATCCTCACAACAACCCTGGGAGGTATATCCTAGTATTATTTGCATTTAACTGATGGAGGAACTGAGGCAAAAAGAGGTTAAATGACTTGCTTGGGGTCATATACTCAGTAAGTGTCTGAAGTCACATTTGAACACAGGCCTTCCTGACTCTGTTTATTATGCTACACAGAGAGGTCAGCCAAGATGGTAAGGATGAAGCCCCAAGATGGTGAGGAGGAAGCCCCAAGATGGTGAGGAGGAATCCCCAAGGTGGTGAGGAGGCAGGCCCAAGATAGTGAGGAGGAAGCCCCAAGATGGTGAGGAGGAAGCCCCAAGATGGTGAGGAGGAAGCCCAAGTGATCTGTTTGACCCAGAAGCGGTCAAACGCACCTGAGAGACAGCTGCAGAGAACATCCATCAGCTCTACTTGATTTGGAAGTGAACTTGGTGGGTCAAATGCTTTGTAAAAACTGCCTAAGTTTCTCCTCAAGAGCCAAGGTGCTAGAGGGGAGAGTGAGCTCCTACAGGGTGAGGGTGGGTGGGGTGCTTTGTAATTTCTATTTGTATTGTACTTTTGCTATAAATATATTTTGTAAAAGCTAACAGATGTGAATTGCTTAAATGAAATTGAGGTGCTAATAATTGGCTTTTAAAATTGGGGAGAACATATTAGAATAGGAGTTTAAAGCTATAATATTAGAGGGATACCCAGGGATGAGCTGGAGCCAGCTCTGACAGGCTCAGCAGAATCCAATGTTAAATTTTCATTGTGAACATTTATATCTTGGAAATCAGCAAACACAAGAAGTTAAGGCTTCATTTATTGATATGTTTGATCTTCTAGACTTGAGAATATGATGGAGAAAAATGTTAATAATGCAGCTAGAACTGAAAATCATGTTGGGTTACATCCTTTTCAAAGAGTCAGTTGCTAACTATTTACCCCATACATTTACCAGCACATATCACCCTTCTCCCCTCCAAGAAACTTGTGAGGAAGATGGAGATTTTTTTCTGAGGGACCTGACACATCAATATGAGTGTTAGGGTGAGATGGGATGAGGATTCTCAGAACCTATACCACAACACCTATATTAGGGAGGGGAGAGGAAAATAATAAAGGGGAAGAAAAGGAAGTGAAGGGAAGGTAGGAAGGGTAGAAGGCAAGAAGTTGGCCAAGGAAGCTGTCTCAATGGGATTTGAAGCATAATGTGGTGTGGGATTGGCTAGACATGGTAAGCAATGCATATGGGCACAAATAAGAATGAGATGGAGGAGAAAACACTTAGCTGCATTGCATTCTCTTTTTTTAATAACATTAATGAAAAAAAATCTGGTATAAAATCTTATCCCACTTGTCCGACATCATGGTGCTACAAGTAATTTTCATGTTAAAAATTCCTATCAAGGTGTCAAGTAATGATAAGAAATTTTCCAGACATCTCATAGACCTCCATGTTCAATGTAACCTAGTTTCTCTCCTAGCCCCATGTTCTTCTCCTAGTTATCTTCAATAGCAACAACCTACCATAATTTTATGTTTAACAATACGACTTATAATCCACAGAAATCACATTGTTCTCTATAAAAGAAACATATGAAGGGGACCAACAGAAATGATGTAAGAACAATGCACATCTTCCATCAAAGACTACTTTTTTTCAATTAGTATTCATTTCCTTCCCACAGGATGACTTAAAAGAAGTCTTGTAGCCACAAGTGCTGTGTACATCTGGTATAGAACTTCTGTCATCTGTAAAGTTTTGTTTTGTTTTGTTTTTAAATAAAGTTTTAGGGATGGAAACTGTGAGTGAAACACGTGGTTATTGTTGTAAGGGAGTGGCTAATGATACGTGATGTGAAGTTGGGAAGATGGATCTAGGTGAGACAGAGAAGGCAAATGTTAGAGCTTCGAAAACGTAAAATGGGCCAACTGAATCTTAGGTTGGTGTTGACTGAGGAAAATAAATTTCATGGTAATTACTCTATGTGGAAAAAGACCTGATATCCAGGTATTTTGTTCACATTCTCCTTAGTACAAGCATGTTCCTAAGTCAAGTCAAGTCGCCAAGCATTTGTCAAGTGCTTACATTGTTCCAAGTACTGTGCTAAGCACTGGGAATGTAAAGAGAAAGAAAGAAAAAAAAAAACCCTGCCCTCAAGGAACTTACATTTTAATGGGGAAATACAACATATAAAATAAGTTCAAGGACAGAGTAGAAGAGGGTTACTTGTGTAGAGGAATGGAAGAGAAAGTCCTAAGAGCCAAAAGTATGGCCTGGAGTGGAATAAGGTTATATCTGTCCTTGTCAACCTCCATAAAATGGAGGTTCTGGAGGAACCAGTAAATTAAAGAAAGAGCCCACAGAAGGTAGAAAGTAGGTACTTCCAGTGTAAGAAGTAGAGGGATCAAGTGAATTACCAGGGTAAAGAGGTTTTTGTGGCATGCACAGTAAAGGATGTCTACAGAGTCAGGAAGGCAGCTTAGAGAGCAAAGGTCCTAAGTGATATTCACTGAGCACAGAGATGAAGGCACACATTCAATATGACATGTGGGCAGCAGGAGGGGTTCAGTCTATGGCTAGGAAGTGGATCAGAATTAGTGTTAATCTATAAGAAGCAGAAGCAGTGAGGCCTAATGGATGGAGGACCGCCCTTAAAACAAAGAAGGCTGGAGTTCAAGGCTTGCTTCCAATATACACTAGTTGTGTGGCATAAGTCCCATAAACTCTAAGTGCCTCTAGACAGCTAAGAATATGTTACAAATAAGTTGACAATTTTCAGTGAAGATGAGAGTTTCCACAATGGGAGTTCCCTACACTGATAAAATCATAAGATGAGGATAAAAAAGAAAATAAAACACAGTTGACTCACCTCTGACCTTGGACTCTTAAGGCACATTAAATAAAAATGATGGAACACAACCTTTGTAAAGTCTTACCAAATGGTAAAGACTTTGAATGCAGTGGGATCATTTTCCAAGAGCCAGCTTAGCTCAGATCAGAGAAGCATGTCTAGAACCATTTCCTCCACATTAGTCTTGGCTTATAGCCTTGTCAGGTTACATAAGGTACCACCAGTGCAGTAAGTGACCTTGATGTCATTTTCTTCCTCATTGAAGGCATCCAACAACATCACTGAAATCATCATGCTAAAAAACATGAGAGCAAGCACCCAACCCTGTTTCATTCCACTGGAGACTGGGAAAGTGCAAAAGCATCATCCATTATCCAAAACCCATGCAAACATGCTGTCAGGAAACTGGCATACAATGCTGGTAAATTTCTCCAGGCAACCAAATTTTGTCATGGTCTTCCACAGGCCCTCACAACTGACAGTATCAGGGGCCTTGGTCAGATTGAAGAACATTGTGTACAGAACTCTGTTGTGCTCCTGACATTTATCCTTGAGATGTTTGGCAACAAATACCATAGCAATCATTCTTCAGCCTTTTCTGAAGCCGCACTAGTTCTCAGGTAGATGACCATCTTCAGGGTGAAGGATCTGTCCAACTTGGAGCAGAGCCTTCCAAGCTCAGATAGGTCTGATCACCTGTACTCAGACACTCTCTACCTTGATCCCAATATTTTGGTTTTCTTCATATGAAGAAGGTTGGCCACAACCAACCAAACATCTAGGACCTGGTGGCTGGCCACTAAGCTGGTGGTGATTTTTTTTTTTTTAATCATGGCTACTCATGAATAGGATGATATGGGAACTGGACCTGTGTTTTCATCACAGTAAAGGATTCTGAAAAGGCAACTCTCTACCAATGCAAACTAATAAGTGCCTTTAAAGGCATTAAGTGACCTGACCCGGGGGAGGGAGCCAGGATGTTGCACAGGTCAGCCTTGAACTCAGCTCCCTCAATCAAGGTCACCACTCCATCATGGTGTGTCTCCTGAGCACCATCCAATAATAAAGCGCAGGATAATTGGAACCTCCACCAGTGGAAGATAGACCCACCCTGATGAAAAGAAGACTCCTTGAAATATTAGCATTCTTGTTGTTTTTATTACTGTAAAATCAATATAATGCTTCCAAGCATATGGAGGACACATGCTTTTGATTTTATGCCAGAAGTGGTCACATGCTCCACTCACTCATCCATATCTTTGCCTGGTCCTCCACAATCAGCCATGTGCAGTGACCAGGATTTGTGTTTACTAAACAGTTTTTGCATATTTGGGGGGCTGCATTGAATGACTCCTAATGAGATCAATCTATTACCACTGATGCCGTTCATATTATGTCACAGCAGCAGTGGCCATTCAGCCCAGATCATAACAAAAGGAGAAACAGCAAATGATACATAGCTATGATGGGGTAGACTCAAAATCCCAGAATGGGAAAGTCATAAGGGGATAATGAAGTCACCTAGTCTAACCAGTTCATTTCACAGATGATGGTACCAAGGCCCATAAGGTCAATAACTTGCATAAGTTCCCATAGCTAGTAAGAGGCAGTGTTAAGATCATAGTTATTTGTCTCTACTCATCAGGGAACCTTCACTGGCAAGACTGACTCAGATAGCTCTGTATTAGATCCAATTATAGGGAGCCAATGAAATTTAAGTGAAAGCGACCAATGTGGATTTTCTCTTGCATCTGCATTTTACATAATTAACAGTAATCAGTGTGTCTTCCCCATCCAGTGGAGCCAAGAGGATGCTGGGATTTCTGCTCACAAGAGTTGTCACAATGGAGAAATACTTTGGAGTATCTATCTGTTGCTAATGCAACCTGCAAGTTTTAGGAAAGATGAACATCCCATGTTGATTATATATGAGCAAATGAAGCCACAGTGGCATCTCCAGGGAAAGACTCAAAAAGGAGAAAGCAGTGCTATAATTAGCAGATGTCAAAATGGCCCATTCTAAAAATGGCTCTTATTTTTCCAGTTTTATTCATGGTGCTCCCCAAGTGAACTACCTCCTCCAATTACCCTGGTTTGCCCATTCACAAAAGAGCAGATCATTCCTATCTTTTATTGATTCCTTCCTACCACCCTCTCTCCAACTACCCCAGTTAACCTAATCATTGGAGTCTTCCTCTAAGGCTGTGTGCCAATACAGTTCCAATGCCATTCATTGATCCAGATTCAGATGACCTTGTTTTGAGCTTTAGGACTGACACCATTCTTGATATGGGGCCTTGGGCAAGTCTTTTAACTTTGATGAACTTCAGTTTATTCACCTAAAACATGGGAGAATAATCAGGAGGGTTGTCATGGGGAGGTTGGAGCTTTTAAAAAATCTTGACATTTTAGAAATAGTATTTATTTTGTTATCAGTAGTAGACATACAATGAATTAACATTTATATGTCATAATAAAAAATGTAAAGCAGTTTTTTTTAATAAAGTCTTAATCCACCAATTGTAGATCTTTTGAAAAGTCAGTATGGGCATGGATCTTCAATGGAGGCCACTAGAGGATCTTAGCCTTCATATTCATTGATCTTTGCTGTGCTTGTGATTTCATTTACATTCCCATTCATTTTATTTCATATGCACATAGAACGAAACACAAATGTTACCATAAAAACACAACCCTAGTGAATTTCTGTTGATTCCATTTCCTAGATGCTATTCTACCACATAAATAGCTACTCACCCTTGACTGTTCTTCTCTTTGTTTGGTGTAAATACTCACCAGGTTAAACATTTCTAAAGCCACTGATGGAGGAAAAGCTAAATGACCAACAGATGCACAGGTGTATTTCAGGGAAAAAAATATATTATGTGTGAATGGGGGAAAGAGTTGGAAAGAAAAGAGATGAAAAAGGAGTAATTTTGCTTTTTGGTCACATGTATTTGAATAATAATAGGTAGGAGAGAAGCAATGGGAGATTATTTGACTTAACATTCAAGAAAATTACAGGGACACACCTGGATAGAGAGGGGGAAGGGCCTGGCATAAACATTCCCACACCTTTCTAGGTAGATGTGTATTTGGGCTTCAGTACATCATGTGAATTTGCAGAAGTGACTAGCCCTGATTAGAAACAGCACCCTACCATGACCCAATTACTATTCTAAGCAAGCTAAGGTAAGAGATCGAAAACTTTTCGTGATTTCTCATGGGATCACATTCACAAGCCTTCATATTTTATCCCAAATTGTAACCACCTGAGAACTGCTGCTTCCAAGGCAATATGACATACTTGTGTGGTCCTTTGTCCATTTTAGGGAGGTAGGCTACACAAGTAATCATCAGGAGATGGGCTCACCAAATGGTAAAGGGCCCAGGAATGGAGGTACCATTGCCAATCAATGGAGGAATTGACTTCAGGGAATAAAATCATGTCAATGAAAATTCTAAACCCTCTGGAAATCTGAAATACTTTCCAAGCTCACCACTAAGCAATGCAAGGTATTCTCTAGGCACCATTATCTCTCCAGCTGTTAGGATGTCCCCTCTTTTCCTTATCCCAAGGTACAATGTATGTTTTGCATATATTTTTATTTTCCCTGTCTATGCTTCTGCCGGTTACTTTCAGTGAAATGTGAGCTCCTTGAGGGTAGAGACTTTCTTAGTTATATTTATAATAACAGTAATAGTAGTGGTAGCTGCCAGCATTTATATAGCATTTTAAGATTTAAAAAGTGATATACAGATATGACTCCTTCATTCCCTTTATAGCATTGCAGGAAGGTGCTATTATTATCAGTATCTTTGTAGATAAGGACAATGTGGCACAGAGAGTTAAGTGACTCACTTAAGATCATACAGTGAGGGTATGTAGCAGGATTCAAATATGTCTTCTTGACTTCAGGTCCATCACTCTGCCCATGGTGCCCCACAGTCACCTCTATCATTATATGCAAATTCCTACCTAACAGAAAGACTGGAATATTATGTTGAATTCATATGGGTTAAAATGAACCTGTTAAAATCTACTGCTAAAAGTAGATTTTATAGAAAATACTTCATTTATTTGGGAAGGAACATTGACGATGTACAAGCAGTTTCTCTGCAAACTGTTTAGAGAACACTAATTTTCCTGTAATTGTTTTAAAGACAAATGATGAGAAGATAGTGTCCTGGCAGTAGAAGGGTTTTCAACCAGCCGGCACTGATTAAGATTGAATGGGACCCTTAAGCCTATCTATCATAGTTTTATTCACACAACACTAGCAAAGTAGAGATTTCACAATGAAGACTACAGGAGAAGGGTAGATTTGGAAGACCTCATCCATCCAGGGTAGATGGAATGCTAAGAAAGGAAAAATATAGATAGATAGATAGATAGATAGATAGATAGATAGATAGATAGATAGATAAATATAGATATGTAGATATACATATGTGTGTGTGTGTGTGTGTGTGTATGATTCTGACCACACGTTTGAAATTCACAAATATGATCCTGATTATGGTTCTCTGAGTCAGTTTCTTGATCTATAAAATGAGAAAAATAACCCCACTATCACCAACCTCACAGCAGGGGGTGATAGGAGGGGGAAGAACTTTAGTAATGTGAACAATTGTTTTTCAAACTTTTTAACCCTTAAAAGTTAAATGTATCCATTTCCAGAAAAATACTAACCATTGTTTCCTTGTGGTGCCCTATTAGAATGAAAGTTCCCTAAGGAAGGATTATATCTCCTTTTGTCTCGTGATCTTGCAATACTGGATGTCATAAATGTTTCTAGATTGATTGATTAGGCAGAAGAGAAGAGTTCCACTGTAAAGAATAGGACCCAGATCTCAATTTTCTCGTTAGTTCAATGGTTTAATTTACATAAACATCAATATTCTCATTTGGTCCAGTATGAGCAAAAAAATAAACCAACATCATAATCCAATCTTCCCCCCACAACATCATTACTTTTTGTAGGAAATTGAAGAATTTTTCCAAAGCCCTTATCCCACTGCATTTTATTCTTTACCACACTTTCTTATTATCTTCCAACATTTTTTTGAGGGGGGTGCTGTCTTTGTCTTCTTTTGTTTGTCTTTCATGTTTATGTTTTGGAAAGGGAGATAGAATAAATATCTGAAAAGATTAGTAAATGGCCATGTAAGGATGTGGTAGGGGAGGAAATCCCCACAACCCATTAGATCAGTGTGTGACCCGATCTCCTTGAGTCCTATCCATGAACAGCTGGTTCACATTTGCCAAAGAATGTGCCCAGGAAAAAAGGGCATGGCTTTCATAAATGGCACTCCACAACTTTCAAAACCTTCCTTCACACTGTGATGTTGTCAGTGCAGGGCACTTCTGGATGTAGAAATCCCTTCCCTTGGTGCAGATGGCCAATTGATCTCTGAGGGATTAAGTGATGAATGTGTTCCAGGGAGGGATTTAGCCTAGTTTGGACTGATTCTAAGGTAAGCCCTTTCATCCACAGCACACAGAAGGTTCTTGCCATGGTAGAAAGCTCCTTGCATCCACTTCTGATTGTATTTGCACAAAGCTTTCAGGTTTCCATATGTTCTCTCATTTGTTCCTCACCCCGCTCTTCTGAGGTAAGTTTGCAAATATAATTTTCATTTTAGTGAGTCAGGCTACAGACCCAACAAAGCTAGGTATGGTAGCATGGCCCAGTATTTTCATTCATTCAATTCATGTGATGAATATTTCCTGATTACCTTAATGGTGCCAGGAACTATACTTTGTGTTTTGTATTTGCAGTGCCTAGCCCAGGGCCAGACATAGACTAGGTGCTTTAAAAGGTTTGATAAATTGAACTCTTTGTAAAATACACATTGAATCTTTTCTGGACATGCCACATCTCTTTTATTCAGCAACCAAAATGACAAGAAGCGTTTTACCATCTCTGGAATATTCCTTGGCTATTTGGCTGGTATTCAGGGGCCCACCAGGGCAAAGGAGCCAAATAGCAGAACAAACAGCAGAACACACCCTCTAGTCCACAGGGCCATTGCCAAATGTCGTACCTTGCTTAGCACATTGTCTTGCCATCTATGAAGCTAGTGATTTCTCATAGGGGTCTAGGAGTGTCCCAGTGAGACTCGAAAGCCTTACGATTTTCCTAATATAATAAAAATATTGGCATCTGAACAAGCCTCCTGACTGATAAAATTGAGAATAAAAAGAAAAGCAGCAAAAGAAAGCCCAGTGTTACTAACCTGCTGAATGTCTGACCAAGCCGGGCCTCCAGGGACCAGTTAGTGCTAACTAAGCCTGCACAAAGATCTCTTGGACACCATGCTTGCCAATGATCTCTTGAACATAATGATCAGCAATCCCACTAGATACAACTAAAGAGTGCACCATCAAGTAGAATGGGGTCATCATCCATTGCATGGAAGGATTCAATTTATTTAAGGAACCATGAAAAGGCTTTGGAATATTAATCTATTTTTTTAGGAAAATACTTTTTTTTTCTTTTTTGCTCCTTGTCATAAAGAATGTGGCCAAGTTAAAAAAACATTGACTGCAAAATAACATGTCAATAAAATGTTCACTGAACTTTTGCCATTAGAAAGGGAATTGTATTTAGCAACTAATCAATCCTTTAATGCAGCAAGAGACTATTGGTGAAATATCTATGTGGACCTGGAATTAACCAAAGGATTCAGCAGTCCCAATAGGTGGAAGTCATGTGCATTCTAAATCTTACCTCAAAAGTATGTGTCCATGAAGGGATGAAAGGCTTCAAGTAATTCAACCAATATAGCATTAAAAACACTGAGCATCGGAAGGTTTCCAAAATGGCTGCCTGGGGCCTGCAATGAAAAGTTAAGTTACATGCAATTAATGTAGGATCCTACAACTAGGTCTGAAGAAGTCACATAGTTCAACCTTCATTTTTCAAATGAAGTAAATGAGGTCCAGGGCCAGGTGATATCGCTAGAAATTAGGGAAATAAGATTTGAATCCAAATTATCTGACTTCATATCCAAAAATCTTTCTATTATATTGTACCTTAAATGGAATTATTTCATGTTTCAACACTATGATGAGTAGATTCACAAAACGTCTATGTGTCAAAACTCCAAATCAGCAAATATTTTTAGATGCCTACTCTGTTCAAGGTGAGAGATAGTGCTGCTCAGAGAACAGTATCAGCCCTGGCCTCTGGAAGACTGGGGTCCTAGCACTGCCTCTTATGCACCCTGGTTATGTGACTGCAGACAAATCCTGTAGAAAGTGCCTAGGCAGCACTGAAAAGGATTTAAGTTAGAGAATACTTGCTAATCTGCATTGGGAGAGAGAATGAATGCCCTGGGAATTTCCCACAATGAAAGCACAGATCAGAGACCCCCAAAATAAGAAATAAAAAAGTACAAAGTTATAAGTTCAGGGCTTTGGAACAGGCAAAAATAACTCACCTACAGTCCTCAGCCTCAAGCTGAGAGTCTAGTATCATGGAGGGACATGGTGCTCCCACCAAAAACTCTTATGTAGTTTGGAAGCTATTTAGTTCATAAGAAATGTACAAACCACATGGTGCCCTAGGTGGAGGAGACCACTATTATCTGGGAAGGCTTCATGGAGAAGGAAACACTGGAGCTGGGTAGCTTGGGTAAACTTTTCCCTGATGGAGATGGGGAGGTCATTACCGACCCACAAGAAAGTCTAAGAAAGCTAGACTGACTGGCCAAGGTCCAAAATAAGCATTGACCAAACAGTGGATCCAGACAGCTCTATAGAAAGCCACAGCTTGAGTGTGACAGCAAAAAGGGACCAGGGTGCTGGTAAGATCACAGAGAAGAAAGGCAGAGCGCAGCATGTAAAGTGGAGGTATGAGGTAGCAGGGGGCCCCAAGGCAAGAGTATGCCCAGACAATGTGGCAATGTTGTGATCCAAAAAGCAAAATGTGCAAAGGTGGTCTCAGCTTAGGCAAGAGCTGAAGAATCTGATGTCCAAACAGGCAGCACGATACAGTACTAGACATGGAGTTGGAAAGGTGTGAGTTCTCATCGATTGTAATTGGATTGCTATGTGAGTGTGACCAAAACCCTTCATTTCTCTGTGCCTCAGTTTCCTCATCTCTAAAGTGGGTATAGTATCTCCTATGTTTCCTGTGAAGAAAGTGATTTGTAAACTGTAAAGCAAAGAGAAGTAAATGTTATTTTCTGTTGGACTGGCTCCGCACGATGATGCTAACATCTTTTTGAGAGCTAACATTGAGGTTCAACTTCACCCGTGCTCCCTTAATTTTCTCAAGGTTTCTCATCTGTGGCTAATTCTCCACTACTTTCTGTGTAGGAAAGGGTTGTTCAAGCAGAGTCGGAGAGAAGCAGGGCAGAGAACAGCATGGGTCACCCATTGATTGTAGAATTCTGGGGAAACAGAAAAGGGAACCTAGTCAGGGGTCACAAGGGAACTGAAGAGAAATCGCAATTAGCCTGATACTCCATGACACTCTAGCTCTGGCACTACCAAGGCAGGAGGATGGCCTCTCTGTGCAGGGACATTTAAGCTTCCAGCACTACCCTTATGCGGTTTATGCTGATCGGGTGCTCCAGGGCTTTGGGAAGGAAACAAATAATGGAGGCTGCAGCCAATAGAGAATGTGGAAGCCAGGGCAGAAAATGAGAGTCATAGAAGTCAAAGACAATCTGACTTACACAGTCTCATGACCAATGTCTTTAAAGATACCTTTTAAGAGACATTTCTTGTTGAATATCCTGAAATGGAGGCCTTGTATTCTGAAATATTTAGAATATAAAACATGTGTGCTCCAAATCAAACAGTATAGCCAATGGAAATGCAGCCCTTTGTTAATTTATTGAATTTATGATTAATGTTTGCTGTCCACATTTTGTCTTACATTGTAAACAGTCCTAAAAAGCAGGGACTGTGTCTGTTTAATTTGCTTTGAATGAAACCTAATCTAGGACTATGTGCAGATTGGCCCTTAATTAATCGTTTTACAATGACAGTGATGAACAACTATTTAAGCGGTAAAGATTAAGGTCTATTGGATTTTCATCATGCTTTTCCTTTCAATTATTAAATCACTTACAGAGGAGAGAAATAGATATGGTGATCCCAGTAGACAGACAGCTCATTACCTTCTCTCATTCATTTGGCTGTAAAGCTAAGGTTGTGCTTCGAAGCCAGCTCAGAATGCAGAGTTCCAGGAGAAAATGTTTTTGCTGGACTTCAAAGATTCCTTTCTGGGGCAATTAATCACTTAGATTTTCCAGCAGGGGGACTAACAAATTTTATAGGATATCAAAGCAAGCACATTTCTCCAAAACCTTAAATACACCAAGTTAAAAGCAGCCCTAGACAAATCATGCTTGTGTTTGCTTACAAATGAATTCATCAGACTTGTTTTCTGAAAACCTGTGGCTGAATTGAATTTTCAGGTAAAATATTTTCAAATATCAGAAAACCAAAATAGCACCAAAATAAATAAACCTATAGAAGGGCTCTGAAATGTCAGTGCTGGGGTATTTTTCAAAGATCTCACAACAAAAATGTTGCTAGACAGTCCCCATATTTCTACATGCCCCTTGATTTATTAGCCTCCTTAGTAATTTACACTTGTTAGTTCTGTATTTCTTTAGGGGAGGAGGAAAATGGTCACTAATTACTTTTGGAAGTTCGATTTTAGACCTTTGTAATTGTGGGAAGCTTGGTGTATAAACAGGCAGGGAAAACACAGCCGCCAAGGCAGGACACATACAGACATTTATATTTTCTCTTCAGTTGACAAATTCAGTCACTTGCGAAAATGGCCTGAACCCTGACCTTGAGGAACATCGCTGTTTTGTGCCCTGGTCCCCCTGGATTGGCCTCTGGCTGTAAAACTTATGTCTCCATCCAAAAGTCTAGATATGGCCAGGACAAGACAAACTACAAGGAAATGCTTCTACCCAATGAAGACCAAAGACATTGAGTTAAATGATCAGCTAAGGCACCAGCTGAAGGATATAACCATTTGTTCACTGACAAAGTTTATCTTCATAACTGAAATAGACTGAAATTTTAATGACACTGAGATACCATTTGCACATACCTTGTTTAAAGGCTTGTAGAATCTCTGGGGTGAAGCCCTTTAAGATCTGGCCCTGGGGTCATCTTGGCTCACTTACTGATTTGGGATGAAATGTAAGTAGGGCACAGAAACACAGAAGAATATGGGGAAAGTAGTACTTTTCTTTTTCTTTGTGGTGAGGCAATCAGGGTTAAGTGACTTGCCCAGGGTCACACAGATAGTAAATGTCAAGTGTCTGAGGCCGTATTTAAACTCAGGTCCTCCTGACTCCAAGGCTAGAGCTCCATCCACTGCACCACCTAGCTGCCCCAATAGTACTACTTTTTAAGATAACAATAAAACAAAAATCTTCATAGTATCCAAAGAAGAGGAACATATATGTGGTTGGAGAATATATAGACAACCCAGGATAAATGAAATTATTTAATCCCTGGCAATATGCTTGACCTCTGACACATTGCTCTCCTAGCCAAGTTGTGTATCTCTATGTACTCCTTGACAAGCCAGAGATATATCAAGGATTCTTTGGTACGTGGATAACAATGGGATAGTATTAGGGGGCATCAAAGTGACTGTGATGCCATCCATGGACCTCCAGGAAAATAAGATTTATTGCTTATTCTGTAGGAAACAATTGAATAATTAAAGGCAACAATCAATACTGAAACTTAAGGACAAGTGATGGCACATGATTACTGTTCTGTAGAGAAACAGAGGGTTATGGGTGCCAAATGTGGCAAATGATGTCAGAAGAAAGGAACATATGGGTTGCTTTTGCTTAACTGTTTTTCTTTGAGACAACAAAGATGTGTCCAGAGTTGAGGGGGGGAGGTGTTTGTTCTCTCTCTGTCTCTGTCTCTCTGTCTCTGTCTGTCTCTCTGTTACTCTGTCTTCTTCCTTCTCTCCTTTATTTTCTCCTCCATCCCTCCCTCTCTCCACAGAATCCATGCGTCCTCATATCCACTTCTGCTCCTGTGCGCTCTTAAACACAGCTAAATCCAGGTTCAGCGTTTTAGCCAGTGTTTCCAAGGCCACAACACTTCCCGTTACTCAGTGAGCAGTTCATTAGGCCTACAGGACACATCTTGAGTCTGATCCTAAAGATATTTGACCACTTTCTAGGGAATGTTACATTAAGTGAAAGAAAATGCAAACGTCCCCCATCCTACCTTTGCTCCATGAGGAATCCAATGGAGGTCAGCGTCAGGATGATATAGCCTGATCTCAGGAGGAGGGTGGCCTGTGATAATGCCTGTTAAACCAACAAGCAGACAAATTGCTCATTTAGGAGAATTCTCTGAAGAAATATTTTAGTCTGAAGCCTCCCTCTATGTTACACCATTAGCCATGACATGTTTTTGTAGTAGTCTGATCCATCATTACATTTGGGCCATTCCAGTAGTTGAGCATTTTCCCTAATATCATTCTGTTTCCTTGTTGGACATTTTGGGGATCAGACTTTTCTGAAATCATTTTTCAAATTAAATAATGTTTAAAATGTTTCTGCTTCTCTAACCCCCCCCCCCCAAGGCTTCTCATTCCACTGGTCTTTGAACCATGTGTGTGCCCCTACCTAGGGGGAATAGCTAGAATTTCTATAAATAAATACCACATTCCAGCTCTGATTCTGAATATCGCTAACTCTGTTGTCAACCCCAGGCACCTTCAGCAATGACAGTCTTAAGGACTTTGAGGAGAAGAATTAGACAAGCAGAAATGTAACTAATGACCTCTAACATTACTAGAGTGTAGGGTGATTTTTTTTTTAAAGCTACATATTGTAATCATCTTAATGAATCTCAGAGGCTTATAATTGGAATTGATCAATGATTGGATAAAAACACAGATGATTGAAATTCATTCTCGATAGGACAGAGTCCTTTTATAAACTGATGAATCCAATCAATCAAAAGTATGAATTATCTAGACCAGACTTCACAAGTGGCTAGTCAGCCTTTGCTGGAAGACCTCCTAGTACCTCCTTAGGTAGCCCAGCCCACTTTCCTACAGCTCCAACTTTAGGTTTTTGTCCCTGAAGCCAAGCCTGAACTTGCCTTCCTGCAGCTACAGCACACACCTCCTGGTTCCACCCCTGGGGCTAAGTAGAACAGCTTTGATCTTTGTTTCCCTGGTATTGAATTCCTATCACATGCATAGATTTATACTTATTTTCTATTTGTGCTACAGTTATTTGTTTATGTATTTGCTTAATTCATTGTACTTTTATCCCCTTAACTGGCATTGCCTGGTACATGGTCTGATGAAGACTCATTGATGGATTCCACAGAAGTACCCTTCCAAATCTTAAAGACAATTATTATATCTCTCCCCACCACTCATCTTTGAAATCTTCTCTTTTCTAGATTAACCATCCCCTATTCCTTCAACTAATTCCTAGAAGACACTGTCTCTGGACCTTTCACCATCTTAGTGGCCCTTCTCTGGACCCTCACCAGTGATCAGTGTCCTTCCTAATCTGGTGCCCAGAATTGAACAGAAGACTCCAGGTGTGGCCTGACCAGAGCAAAAGATGGTGGGATGATCATTTCTGAGACTATATAGGTTTCTCCCAATGGAATCTGAGGTGGAATTTACAATAGGGGGTGCCATGTCATGCTGTTACCTCTTTTGGAGCCTGTGGGTCCACTCCCCAGATTCTTTCCAAATGAATCTCCTGTACCCGTCCAGCTATCCCTCCCTCCTTTAGGGCATGGAAAGCTGGAATTCTGAATCTAGATGGAAGTCCCACTCCATGATCTTCTTCATCTTTTTTATTTTATCTTATTTGTTTAGGCTGAATGTTTGAGTTCCTCAAAATCTTATGGATACTTTCCCTGTAATTTCATGAAATAGATTTTCCTTCCAACCGTGTATCATCTACAAATTTTGGAAGTATGTCATCTGTGTTTTTATCCAATCATTGATCAAACTGTAAAACAGCTCATGTCCAAGCATTTGATTATGGGGAGACTTAGCTGGAAACATCTTTCCAAATTTTTATGGAACTATTAATGTCTACTTTTTAGCACCACTTTTTACCCAATTCTAACACCAGCACTCCCTTACAGTATTTTTCAGATTCCATCTCAGCATCTGGTCCTCAAGACAGGAAGACGCAAGGGAGTTTTAGTCAAATATTTTTCCAAGATATGCATAAAATGTAGGTATCTATTTGCCTATTTGTTTTTCTTCAGTCATTTTTCAGGCATGTCTGATTCCTCATGACCCCACTCGGGATTTTCTTGGCAAAGATACTGGAGGGATTTGCCACTTTCTTCTCTCATTTTTACAAATAAGGAAGCTGAGATAAATAGAGTTAGATGACTTGCCCAGTGTCACAGCTAGCAAATGTCTAGGGCCAGATTTAAACTCAGATAGATGAGTCTTCCTGACTCCAGGCTCAGTGTTCTATCCACTGCACCAGTTAGCTACCCAATGATAACTCTAGCATCTTCCAATCTACCAGGTTAGTAACTCCACCCAAATCAGTATCAACTGAGACATTTGAGAATTAATGAAACAGCCTTTTCTCTTATGGAGTTTCCAGTCACAATGGGACAAGCAAAATGTACAAAGATATGAAAAATAAACATATACACACGTGTGTATGTATGTGAGTATGTGTGTATGTGTCTATATGTGTCTATATAGTATATTGATTTGTAGGGATAGAGAGATCCAGGAAGGCCTCTTGAAAGGGTGACCCTTTACCTTTTTCAGTATGATACCAATCAAACTACCAAAATATTTTAGAGAGCTAGGAAAAATAATTACAAAATTAATTTGAAAGAACAAAAAAGTCCAGAATATGAAGGGAACTAATGAAAAAATGGAAGAGAAGCTGGTCTAGCTGTACCAGATCTTAAATTGTATTATAAAGCGTTCATCATTAAAGCTACTTGGTACTGGCTAAGAAATAGAGTGGTAGATCAATGGAACAGATTAGGTATGCAAGACACAATAGTCAATGACTATACTAATCTATTGTTTGATAAATCTAAAGACTCTCACTTCTGGGATAAGAAATCACTATTTAACCAGAAATTGCTGGCAAAAACTGGAAAAATGCATGGCAGAAACTTGGCATAGACCAACATTTTACACCCTATACCAAGATAAAGTTAAAATAGGTACAGGATTTAGATAAAAAGACTGATAATATAAGTAAACCAGGAGAGCAAGGAATAGTTTACCTTTCAGATCTATAGAGAAGGGAAGAATTTATGACCAAACAAGAGATAGAGAATATTATCAAGTGAAAAAATGGATAATTTTGATTATGTTAAATTGAAAAGGTTTTGCACAAACAAAGCCAATGCAAGCAAGGTTAGGATAGAAACAGAAAACTGGGAAAGAATTTTCACAACCAGTGTCTCTGATAAGGGCCTCATTTCTAAAATATATAGAGAACTAAATCAAATTTATGAGAATACAAGTAATCCCCCAGTTGATAAATGGTCAAAGAATATGAACAGATAGTTTTCAGATGAAGAAATTAAAGCTATCTACAGTCATATGAAAAAAGTTCTAAATCACTATTGATTAGCGAAATGCAAATCAAAACAACTCTGAGGTAACACATCACACCTCTCAGATTGGCTAACATGACAAAACAGGACAATGATAAATGCTGCAGAAAATGTGGGATAATTGGAACACTAATGCATTGTTGGTGGAGTTGTGAAATGTTCCAACCATTTTGTTTTTTATTTATTTACTTTGTGTGGGTGGACAATTGGGGTTAACTGAGTTGCCCAGAGTCACACAGCTAGTGAAGTGTTATGTGTCTCAGGCTGGATTTGAACTCATGTCCTCCTGACTCCAGGGCCAGTGCTCTATCCACTGTGCCACCTAGCTGCCCCTTGTTCCAACCATTTTGGAGAGCAATTTAAAAGTATACCCAAAGGGCTATAAAATTATGCATACCCTTTGACCCAGAAATGCCACTTCTAGGTCTGTATCCCAAAGAGATCATACAAAAAAAAAAAACAAACAGGAAAAGGACCCACATATACAAAAATATTTATAGCAGCTATTTTTGTGGTGGCAAAGAGTTGGAAATTGAGGAGATGCCCATCAATTGGGGAATGGCTGAACAAGTTGTGGTGTATGAATGTAATGGAATGCTATTATGTTATAAGAAATGATGAGCAGGCTGACTTCAGAAAAACCTGGAAAGACTTACATGAACTGATGCAGAGTGAAAGGAGCAGAACCAAGAAAACATTGTACACAGTAATAGCCATGTTTTGGGATGACTGATTTTTATAGACTTGTCTCTTCATAGCAATGCAAGAATCTAAGACAACTTTAAAAGACTCATGATGCAAATTGCTATCCACACCCAGAGAAAGAACTATGGAGTCTGAATGCAGAAGGAAGCATACTATTTGCTCTCCTTTTCCTTTTTTCTTTTGTTTTGTTGCTTCATTTCAATTTATTTAGTTTTAGTTTTCAACATTCACTTCCATAAGATTTTAAGTTTTTAATTTTCTGCTCCCTCTTCCCCCAATGGCATGCAATCTGATATAGGCTCTTCTTATACATTCATCTCAAGCATATTGTCCCATTAGTCATGATGTAAAGAAAATTAGAACTAATGGGAGAAACCACAAAAGGAAGGAAGGAAGGAAGGAAGGAAGGAAGGAAGGAAGGAAGGAAGGAAGGAAGGAAGGAAGGAAGGAAGGAAGGAAGGAATATAAGTGCCTATAAGGTAGACATCTGGGGAAGATAAACCTGACCAGATTTAAGTTTATTATATGGTTGCTAGAGATGCTTTCTTCCTTCCTTCCTTCCTTCCTTCCTTCCTTCCTTCCTTCCTTCCTTCCTTCCTTCCTTTCTTTCTTTCTTTCTTTCCTTCTTTCTTTCTACCCCTGGTACTTATTACAGTGGCTTGCAAATGTAGGTGCTTAATAAATGCTTATATATGTGACTATGAATGAGTAGTCCAAAATGGGGGAAAAAAGGATGGAGGTATGCAAATATCCTTAAGAAACTCTGTGTGTGTGTGTGTGTGTGTGTGTGTGTGTATGTGTGTGTGTGTGTCTGTGTGTTACCTGAGAAGTCTGAGAGAACTGATCTTGGAGTTGGGGAGATCTGAATTGGACTGTTGTCTCTCTTACTGTGTGACCTTGAGGAAGACATTTAATCTCTTTCAGCCTCAATTTTCTAAACTGTAAAATGGTGATAACAAGAGCTAACTCCTAGGGTTTTTAGGAGACTTCAATAATATGATATGTGCAAAACACATTG